TTCTATTTGAATTTATAGACCTGAGAAATTACGTTTAATATATTTTTTTTTTAAATGTAATTATTGTGTTAGTTTAAATAGCAGTGCATCATAAGTCTTTGAAGGCTGGCTGATATGTAAATAATGTAAATATGTTGATTTATTATGTAATATCAGGTTGCACTATAAAATGAAATATATATATATTTCTAACATCACTGAAGAAACATTAATTGTCGAAATCCGGATATGATGTACAAAAACCTTTGCACCTTGTGTTTGCGGTATACCATCTTTTCCGCAAGTTTATCGTTTTCTGATTAGAATTAAATTTATAATTAAGATCCATTTATTACATCGGTGATCCGTTTATTTGGCAATCGCAAATGGCAGTCAGCAGGATTTAAAAACATTTGTTGTTCGACCTGTTAGTCAAATGCGTTTTGTTAAAATATACTTTTCACTTTTTTGGTCTTTTGGAAAATGTTGTTTGTGCTGTATTTAGACCCCTCTAACAAGAAATTTGTTTTGCATGCACACGTATAGAAATTGCGGTTTTTATCCAACGCAAACATAGGTTTGAACGTTGTTTTCAATTTAGACTTGTTTATATTTTTTCGTTTGGGCTTGTATTATATTTGCCTTCGGGTTTATATGATACGTTCATCCTATTTTGACTCCTCAAAATTCAAGAGTCTATCCTAAATTGAGGTAAATTGTATGGCTTTCCAAATACCGTTTCGATTTCTAACATCACTGAAGAGACATTAATGGTCAAAATCCGGATATGGTGTACAAAAAATCTTTGCACCCTTGTTTGCGGTATACCATCTTTGCCGCAAGTTTATTGTTTTCTGTTTGGTATTAAATTTATAGTTAAGATCCATTTATTACACCTTGTGATCCGTTTATTTGGGAATCGCCAATGGCAGTCAGCAGGATTTAAGAACATTTGCTGTTCGACCTGTTAGTCAAATGCGTTTTGTTAAAATATACTTTTTCACTTTTTTGGTCTTTTGGAAAATGTTGTTTGTGCTGTATTTAGACCCCTCTAACAAGAAATTTGTTTTGCATGCACATGTATAAAAATTGCGGTTTTTATCCAACGCAATCATAGGTTTGAACGTTGTTTTCAATTTAGACTTGTTTATATTTTTTCGTTTGGGCTTGTATTATCTTTGCTTTCGGGTTTATAAGATCCGTTCATCCTATTTTGACTCCTCAAAATTCAAGAGTCTATCCTAAATTGAGGTAAATTATGTGGCTTTCCAATAACCGTTTCGATTCCTAACATCACTGAAGAGACATTAATTGTCGAAAACCGGATATGGTGTACAAAAAATCTTTGCACCCTTGTTTGCGGTATACCATCTTTGCCGCAAGTTTATTGTTTCCTGTTTGGTATTAAATTTATAGTTAAGATCCATTTATTACACCTTGTGATCCGTTTATTTGGCAATCGCCAATGGCAGTCAGCAGGATTTAAGAACATTTGTTGTTCGACCTGTTAGTCAAATGCGTTTTGTTAAAATATACTTTTTCACTTTTTTGGTCTTTTGGAAAATGTTGTTTGTGCTGTATTTATACCCCTCTAACAAGAAATTTGTTTTGCATTCACACGTATAAAAATTGCGGTTTTTATGCAACGCAGTCATAGGTTTGAACGTTGTTTTCAATTTAGACTTGTATATATATATATATATATATATATATATATATATATATATATATATTGACAGGTTGCACTCAGATATTAAGCTACGTTGTGTATTGATTTCAACAAGAAATTTAAATTATGAGTTCATTCTGTAATGTGTATAAATTTTCATATCAAACGTAAATTATGTCATCTGTTTCTTATTAATTCTACATACTGCTAAACTAAATAATAGTTTATTACATGACCTTGCTTCGCACTTAAATAGTTTAATCTTTACATATTTTTTTTCTGTTGTATAATTGTATATAAATAAATTTTGTGATATTCGTAAATCAATATAACTTAATTTTGTTTTCAGCCGTGTTGTTTAGAGGAACAAAAATCATAGTACTGTTATAAATACTCAGGTTTATCTATCATCAAATTTTGGCCGACGTCGTAATAAATATTTATTGGTTATACATCAAACTTTATATGTTATTTCTACCTCCCTTAGTTTTAAGGATGTGATTTTTTTTTATTTCTGCCTTGATGTCTCGATTTTGAATCTAAAAATGAAGCATAATTGTTTATATACATGTAAGACAAAAAAAAAAAAAAGAGATTTCATTTACAAAGACAATTTTAGGTTCAAAGGATTTGGAAAGGAACATTATGAATTTGATGGTGATAGGAAAAATACGTTGTATGTGTTTATCAAATTATCTACCTTACCCGATATACAAAAAAAAAAAGTAGCATTGAAACGTTTGAAATTAGATAATAGATCGCTTGTGTGCAACATAAACTGGATTGAAACAATAACAATTCCATGTGAATTTGACCGTTGATTAAATTTCGTCAAAATTAAGACATGGAAGCATGCGAAAGTAATGTGTTTCTATACCTAATGTGTATATAGTCGTTTACAATTTTAAAAGAACTCTGAAGGAAATGTACTACTTTTTGATAACCTCTTCCCTAATAAAACTAATGTATTGTAAACGAGGTCAGCTGACACACTTATTTTCCACACTTATTTTCTACAAGACGATTTATTCATTGTATAAGGAACGATAACATTTTTTTACAAAATATGGCATAAATAAAGGCAACAGTAGTATACCGCTGTTCGAAATTCATAAATCGATTGAGAAAAAAACAAATCCGTGTTACAAACTAAAACTGATGGAAACACATCAAATATAAGAGGAGAACTACGACACAACAGAAACACAACATTAAAATGTAGCACACACAGAAACGAACTATAATATAACATATAAACGACACGAGTTGTTTTTCTTGTACAAAATTCTGACACAGATAATGGACAGCTAAGACGTAAGCATTTACAAGTATGACGTAAGGAAAGTGACGATTGTCGGATGAGTATAACCAATAGATGATAATAAAAATAGCATTCTAAGACTAATAAATAACGGAACTTGTTAGCAGTGCCCAAAAAACTTGTTTTTCGGACATATCAAATTTTATATTTTCATGCATAATTATGAAATTCAATAATTTTCAAAATTATGGGCTCGCATAATATTACTGGAAATATTATTTATTCTCATAATATTATGGATTTTCATAAAACAGTCGAAATTAGCCATTTCCATAATATTATGGAGTTCGCTAAGTGCCCCGACTATTAGGTAAATCGAATATAACTTCATACTGGTACATGATAAACGCATAGTGTCTTTTGCAAAAGGTTGGGTGACCTATGACTTTGAAAAATATCAACCGGAGTTGACCTTGTGCAAACCAGAAGTAGCTATTTTTGCAGTAATTCTAGTGAAACATGCTTAAAACTATATATTTTTGCAATTACCATACAATAATTTATAAAATGACACTACAAACAACCTTTTGAATACCGGAAGTAGCTAATTATCTCCCTTATTTGAAGCAAAAGTACGTAGACACCATATATTTTTTTTGAATCAGTGTAATGATAGCTATATTATGCCACCGGATGTGACCTTTTGTAAACCGTAAGTGGCTGATTATCTCCCTTATTACAATTGAAACTTCATAGAATCCGTATATTTTTGGAATCAGCATAAAACAACCTTTAAGATGAAACCGAAAGTGATTTGTTCTATACCGGAAGAAGCTAATTATATCCCTTTTTCACAGAAATGTCCATTTATTTTTCAAAAGAGAATTGAATATCCTTTTAAACAACACGTGAAGTTAAGTTCTATAGGCCGGAAGTAATTTATAATCATCCGTATTTCAAGTGCAAGCACAAAGAAACCCATATATGTTTTTAATTTGGTTTATAGTAAGCTGTTTTATCATACCCTCAGAGTTTTTTTTTTTTTTTTTCGTTTTATCAAAAATACTTAAACCAATATTATGTGGAAAGACCTTCAATTATTCTCTGAACAATCGATTTTTATTTTTTTTCTTCTGATAAAGTTTGATCTTTCATCAAATTTTTGTTTCACAATTTGTCGCTTAGATATTTAATATATTGTATCGCACAGTTTATGCGCTTTTAAATTTGGCCCTGTTTAGCCGATCAATTTTCTGTGTAAGAGTTATCTACCCATACACTGTTTATTATGTTGTGCATCTCCTCCATCACCAAAAAAGATATCGAAAAAATTCATTTACTTATTTGTTTGTTACATCTTCAGGAATTTTAGGCTGATTTGGATCAAAGCGATGCCGTGAAATCTTATAGGAGTATCGCGGCAAAAAAAGAAAAATATTTGAAGCAACTTCAGACACAAACTATTTATAATGTGTAATTTTCATTACTAGCAGAGCATGCAGAGTAGAAACAGTTGCTAGTGAACAGCAATCTCAAATGGTTTCATCCGCTCAGAAGAAAGGGATATTTGTACTGACACGATTTTACATGTGCCGCTGTTGACTGTAACATTATTTAGAAACTAATGTTCCAGCTCTCCCTGGTAAATCTGAACTTCTATGGATTAAGCGATTCTTTGGCAGTTTTGTTTTAACATATAGCTCTTAACGTATTAAAGCATTGCATATTCCTGGTTTTCAAATGTTTGCGCTTGAGAATTCCTGATCAAGAATTAAAAAATGGCATTAACTATGTTAACGGAGACCGAAATATACTATCCCTTTTGATAGCAAACCGCGCAAATGGAACATGTATGCATTTAGATGGTCTTATAGGTGACCCAGAAAGAGAAATTCAGTATTCAATTTCATATAGAAGATATAAATAGAAAACTTAAAAAACAACAATACTGTAGTTGAAGAGTTACCGTCGTCAATTGGCGATTTGATGGTCGCAAATACGTGTCGCCAGTAAAATGGATACTTGCCACCATCAAATCGCAATTGACGACGGAAACTCTACAACTACAGTACTGTAATTCCGATTCTAATGCATTACAAAAAATTTTAATACGTTAGACTTAACGAATATCTAACATTTGAATAAATTTTGCTAAACCTGACGTCATACACAAGACAATGTTTAAACTGAAGGATATTGCGTTACTTCTACGATTCAATTTTTGATTAAATCACATCAAAATCGCATTTTAGGCGGTAGATGTTGATTTGCTTTCGAATATATTCTAGTAATCACACATTTGTTGATCCAGGCAATTCCATATGGCGACTTCCTCTTTAGTTACGACAGGTCAACCGTGGATTTGATGGCAAATGTTAGCCAAAATTAATACATTTAAATTGCATTAGAATAAATTTCATGTTATTTTGTCGAAGGTTTGATATTTGTTTAACAGAGAGCACAAATGATTTATACAATCTTCACAAATATTGTAATCATGTCAGTCCAATCTCTCTTTTAACTTTAAGGACTCTTTGTTCCATTTCTTTTCTTATTTGTAACATAGTTATGTCTTCGTATCTGGCCATGCTCATGCAGTTCTTCCAGTATGCAACCTTTGGGCATAGTCTGTAGTGATTTATAACTATATGATGATTTCTTAAATATATTCTGAAATATCAAACAATTTTATGTTTAAAACTCAATAACACATTTAGTTTTTTTTTTTGCATTATATGATTCCTTCAAATATATGTTTTTGCCTTCTTGAACTTGTCTAGACGTTTTTGTGTGAATTCATCTCAGTTGTGCAGCGTAGAACGGTGTGATTTTTTATGATAAGTTTAGTCCAATTAGCTTGTTTAACGTATACATAAAATTGAGTATGGAAACGGGGAATGTGTCAAAAGAGACAACAACACGACCAATGAAGATTATTTTTGAACAAGGAATTGGCTCTATTGTTGTGCTGGTTGTTTTGTTACCTTTATAAAATAATACTACAAAAATTGAATACGGGTCACCTCGTGCTTGACATTATATAAATGTACTTTTGTATTGTTGACGACATACATTGACCTGTGAATGGTTTTGTCTACAATCTCATTTTGTTAAACCCAATATCTTCTTTTTTTTATAGGCCATCTTATGAATCGACTACACGCTTACATGAATATGCCTGCTCGTCCGTGCGTGAATTTGTGTGTCCTTCACAAGTTGTTTGCGCTCTCTTTCTACGAAAACACTTGAAGTTCAGCAATGAAACATGCCAACCCTTAGTTCATCTTAGTCAACTATGTGCATATGTACAAAACCACCTTTGACTCTTAAACTTTCAACCCCATTTTTAGTTAGGTTTTACACTTTTGCATGATTTTTCACCACTACTAAAGAGTGTTTCTGTTACAAGGAAAAAAATCATACATAAAAGTCGTGATCGAAACCTTAAATAAATCAGCCATCATTGTCCATAAATACCAAAAGAGAGACGAAAGATACCGATGAGACATTCAAACTATCAACAAAATTTCAGCCTTCTAACCTTTAAATGAAAAAGAAATGTTCAAAAACGAATTTTCAGCATTATTTTGTTACCTTTTAAATCCGGGTTTTGAATAAAAATCGTGCGTAGTTGATCTTTCCGTCCTACTAGGGATATAAACATTTTTATAATTTACATATCGAGGATTTACTGTTTTTATATATTGTGTCATTTGAAGAAATCCGTCTCCAGAGATTCCCCAGTTTTTCATGAAGTATGACTCGTTCAATGTAAATCCAGAGGCGTGTGAATACTTTGGCAGTAGTGTGTCCTGAAATTATTCAAACAATGAGACAGCACAAATATAGGTAATCACATATCATATTAATTCTATGTATGACTAATGGCAATCCCAGGAAACAGTATGATCACAAACTGTAAAGGGCCAAGCAGAACTTCCATTTAGCAATGTTTAGCATTCTATTTTTGTCGATATAGACCTAATAGAAAAATTACAGCCTGACCAATAACGTAACGATCTTCAAAATCATATACCAATTTTGAAGTCTATACAGAAATAATGTAAAAATGCAGTCGGTGCAGGTGTTCAACTTCTTTACAAAGGAACGTACACTATTTTTTCAAGCACTTTAATACACATAAAAGAAAAAGAAGACACCACTATGCCCCAAACAAAATAAAAAAAAGGTAAAATCGAACAGACAACAAAAAACATCACAGAATACTAAAGGATACGACCATATTCGAATATAATAAAAAAAAAAAACTTGTTGTGAATTCGAAAGCCAGGAAATTGACAGCTTTCTTGACTTCATTGAAGGAAGCCGTCATTAAATGAAATGATGTATGTAGGTTGTTAAGGAATCACCATATAGCGAATTTGTAAATGCTTCTTATTATTTCCTAAGACATCAGAAAATTAATAAATCGTCATAAATTTAAACAACATGGCAATTGAACTGATTTGCACATAAAATTTGTAAATAAGGATGCAATACAACTGTGTTAACTGGAGAGAAACAGACATTGAAAAGTGTAAATACAATACTGAAAACAGGAGCAGAAGCGACTAGGACCTCTTAAAACAATGTAAGGTTGGAAACGTGTGCTCCAGACTTATGATAAGTCGCTTTCGGTTATGTTTCATATTGATTCAAAACGACTGACACTAGTGTTTATGGTGGAAACAAAAAAGATCGAAAATATACCATATACTTTAATGCAATTATTTTGTATCAATGTTTCTGATTAAATGACCATCAGCGTAAAATTCTCTATCTCCCTGTCTATAACTTAGGGAAGCCGACATTTTAACTTCCGGAATGTATTGAAATGTATTTGCTCTACCGATAAGCAACAAAAAAAACTCACATTTTGCACCTAGAAATCTTTAATAAAACTGTATTACATTTTGATGCGGACAAGAAGCCAGAGAAAGCCCGGTATTTACGTTTGATACCGGAAGCATAACTATGACGTCACTTAGTTTAATTGCCAAAGAAAATAACATCATTTCGCGCAATTTTCGTTAAATAAAAAACGCTAGACCGAAATAATGACTAGATTGAATAAATTGTTTATTTGGCATTCGAATATAGATAACTGTTATGTATTTGAAGCTTTGTGGACGTCCATTGCTAGTTTTACGCGTCGCCAGGTAAACTCAATTTGCGACAGGAAAATTACCGATGGACGTCCACAAAGCTTTAAACACAATACAGGTATCTATAAAATGAGCAATGCATAGCATATAGAAAACATTTATATCAAAATTACCACACATTACAGCACACCACATCAACCACCAACAACTGATCCAAATATTTTTTAACATTTAGATTTATTGAGGTATGAAACCACTTGCAGAAATTCAACGAACGCTTACATGCACCTTTTTTGCAGTTATAGTTTATAACGATAATAAATAAAGGTCTTTTAAATGTGTTCTATACATAAAAGACCTATCGATAAAGGGTATAATTATACTGTTGTGGAATAATTGCTTCTCGTACATATTTTTTAGTAAAAATTAATTCACGAATTTATATGTTGCTTTGAACTATTACATTTATCATTTTTTTATCTGTATAATCGGGGTTAGACATTGTACAACTCATTTCTTTTGGTACTCTATGAAGTGTAGCGACCGATATTTAGTCACTGCAGGCATACTTTGTTATTAGCTAGTTTAGTATTTAAGGCTTGCTAGCTTTCAGTTACTGTGAGCTCCCTTGTCTTGTTTTGTCCTTGTATGTTTTAACCTTTTCTGTTTAGTCCATTTTTGATTATATACATATGACGTGGCTCGGTACTTATACATCCCGCCATTGTGTTATTGTGCTATGGTCAATTTTGAATTATTGTCTTTCATTTTTGCTTATGTATTTTGTCTATATGCCATTTTGTGCTTCTTTGTTGAACCAGTTATTTGTTTTTATAGTGATTAAGATTATATTACAATGTTGACTGCTGTACTCCAATTTTAGAAGTTTTTAACTATTATGTCTGTTTGTTTTGCTCACACATTGTTGTCAATATAACTGTATGAAGCAAAATATATTCTAAAAGCTTTTAACTTGTTTGAAAAATAAGGACATTAAAAAGGCCACCTTGAAATATTCCTTAACATTTGCAAGGTTGGACTGCACTATGAATTCGTCAAAATCAATATTCGCCACAAAGTCATATCCTTGAAGTTTCTGCTGGCAATGTGCTATTGCTAGGTTTTGATCCTGCTCACCTTTTGGTGTAGGTCGACGAAAAAAGTTCCATGGAATATCTAATAAATACAATGGAAATGATATGCAATAATGTTACTTTAGTAAAGAACTAATTACCATTGATACTAAGGATGACATTGATAAACGATTTAAATTTGATGTTCTGCTGTGGGTCGTTATACCACTGATGAGTCTTGTGAAGACTAAACGCGTGTCTAGCTTTACAAATTATAAACTAAGCAACATTGAGGAGTTTAAACCGTCTACATATGTTTTGAGAGTGTAAACTTTTTGACATTGAACATTGATTTTGATATCTCAAATCTTTGTTGTCAATAACATTCTCATGTAAGATCGTTTTCAAATTTGTCTTCATCAACATTTCATAATGTTTTGAACTTAACACTGACTTGACTAGTATGTATTCAGCAATGTTACTTTCATGAACAAAAAATGAGAAATAAATTCTTAGGAAAGCAAAATCTCCGTTTAATTGTACAATGTAATCGATATATAGCTATTTATTAATAATATTTAAACCGTAGCTTTAACAGCTCTTAATATAAACTCAAACAAATTACGTTGATAATGCGAAATGAAAACAAAAGTTTGACGCTACCATTGATTTAATGTTAATAAAAGTACCTTAGATTACCTTTTAATTCATCATTGCTGAAGTTTTTAAAACATTCAGTTCTATCCTTTATGGAGCAGTTTGCATTGGCAGCTGTAAAATAAACAGAAAATAAAACTTATTAAATATTGTGGTTCAGTAGTGGATTTTTTTCTGGATTTATCTTCACCAAGAACTCTGAAATCACCAAAAAGGATGTATTTATACTTGAATACGTGAGGGCTCAATGACCAAAGGTGAGCTATAAAGTATAGCAAAGTGCAGATTACTTTGCCTCAGGGTATTGGAACCTTAGTGTTCTTACGATGGCTAACGTTTAATTAAAAAATAGAAATGTTATTGATGAATTCACACTTTTGAGCTGTTGATACCATCAGATAGTAGCACTCGTCCAGCAGCGGTATTGATTCAGTGCTAGACAAAAAACATGTTTTGCATAATATTTTTAAATTAAAAGTAAGAATGAGGATATTTGAAGTATGAAAAATATCCAAATTGTACCACAATCCTTCAAAAGACAGAAAGAAAACACTGTTTATCAACTGTTGTACGTTTTGCATTTAATAACAATCCGTGAAGAGATATATATTATGACACTGTCACATTTCTGTTGCTGTGATTGCTATAGGTTATTCTATTTGATCAAACTCACATTTATATATATATATACATATATAAAGAAAAGTCAAATAGAATCCGTATGCTGGTAACATATAAGAAAAATAATATAAGATAATGACGGTTTCAATTCATCACTTTTACTAGCGCTTTCACTGCTTTCACAGATCTTCAGGTAATGTGACTTGTATACATAAATGTTATAAAACAATTGATTGACGTTAACAATAGTATGACGTTAACAAATACAAGGGAGACTACTAATGTCATTTTAAAATTGGGAGTAAAGTTTTTAAAATGTTTCGTAAAAATTAAAATATTATTTATCATTTAATCCCGGGTTGAGAATGTTTATGAATAATTCTTCTTTCTTCTTCCGGAGAAAATCATTTTGACGATAGACCATATACAACGGAAATATTTTAGATATTTAAAATATTATTTATCATTTAATCTCGGGTTGAGAATGTTTATGAATAATTCTTCTTTCTTCTTCCGGAGAAAATCATTTTGACGAATGACCATATACAACGGAAATATTTTAAATCGTCCATTAGAACAACGATGTTTTAATGGACGATTTAAAATGTTTCGTAAAAATTAAAATATTATTTATCATTTAATCCCGGGTTGAGAATGTTTATGAATAATTCTTCTTTCTTCTTCCGGAGAAAATCATTTTGACGATTGACCATATACAACGGAAATATTTTAAATCGTCCATTAGAACAACGATGTTTTAATGGACGATTTAAAATGTTTCGTAAAAATTAAAATATTATTTATCATTTAATCCCGGGTTGAGAATGTTTATGAATAATTCTTCTTTCTTCTTCCGGAGAAAATCATTTTGACGATTGACCATATACAACGGAAATATTTTAAATCGTCCATTAGAACGACGATTGACCATATACAACGGAAATATTTTAAATCGTCCATTGGAACATCGTTGTTCTAATGGACGATTTAAAATATTTCCGTTGTATATGGTCAATCGTCAAAATGATTTCCTCCGGAAGAAGAAAAAAGAATTATTCATAAACATTCTCAACCCTGGATTAAATGATAAATAATATTTTAATTTTTACGAAACATTTTTAAGACTTTACTCCAATTTTAAAATGACATTAGTAGTCTCCCTTGTATTTGTTAACGTCATACTATTGTTAACGTCAATCAACTGTTTTATAACATTTATGTATACAAGTCACATTACCTAAAGATCTGTGAAAGCAGTGAAAGCGCTAGTAAAAGTAATGAATTGAAACCGTCATTATCTTATATTATTTTTCTTATATATATATATATATATATATATATTTATACAAATTCTTTGCACCTTTGTTTGCGGTATACCATCTTTTCCGCAAGTTTATTGTTTTCTGTTTGGTATTAAATTTATTGTTAAGATCCATTTATTACAACTTGTGATCCGTTTATTTGGCAATCGCCAATGGCAGTCAGCAGGATTTAAGAACATTTGTTGTTCGACCTGTTAGTCAAATGCGTTTTGTTAAAATATACTTTTTCACTTTTTTGGTCTTTTGGAACATGTTGTTTGTGCTGTATTTAGACCCCTCTAACAAGAAATTTGTTTTGCATGCACACGTATCAAAATTGCGGTTTTTATCCAACGCAATCATTGGTTTGAACGTTGTTTTCAATTTAGACTTGTATATATATATATATATATATATATATATATAAGTACGTCTGAACCAGTGACTACTCTACAACAGATTTTATCCATCGGATCACCAGCAGTGATGGTGATACAAGGCTGAAACTTAGAATGTATTTTCAGCCTTGTTTTACCATCAGACGAATTATATATATTTACAACTATCATAATAATCGAATTTTTATAACAGTAACTAAAACATGCAAACGATAAGCTATATTTGAATGGTGTAATCAAATTCAAATTTAACCAGAATACCACGTGTGTGAAGGGATTGAAAAATTTGATATATTGTTTTAAAAAAAAAAAAAAAACAGGTATTGGTGAGTATCAGTAGGCTTAAACTATAGGTATGTGGATATTATACAATCTGTTAGGGAGCTGGAAGCACCGAGGAAGGTGATTTTGGATTTAGACCTCTCATGCGTAAATTTTATACTTTGATGTATGTTGTTGGCATGAGGGATGAATGTATCTAAATCCTCGTCACTTGTATTCCATTTTATATCCTCATCGTCTATAAATCTAAACCAGGCAATTAAAGCGGTTTTTCGATTTAAGATTCAAGGAGTTGTTTTTCTAATTTGCCCATAAATATGTTAGCATATGATGGAGCCATTTTGGTACCCATAGCAGTTCAATTAACTTGTTGATAATGATTTCCATCAAAGGTGGAACCAGCGTGAGCATTTTGACCTGGCATTCAGTAGGTGGAGATTTTACTGGCCTGGAATCCCAAACTTCTTTAGATACATCAATGCCATCTGCATGTGGAATATTCGTGTAGAGGGAGGTGACGTCCATTGAGACAAGCGTGGTGTCGGCAAGAAGAGGATTTAAGTCCTGCATTTTTCTAAGATAATAGGTTGTGTTTTTGATGTGAATTGATGAGTCTTCAACATGTTGAAAAAGATGGAAGTCAACGAATTCCGAAATTTTTTCCGTCGGATGACCATTCGCTGAAAAAATGGGTCTTCCTGGGTTATTGGCCTTATTAATTTTTGTAAAATGATAAAACCTGCCCGGTTTTTGGACTTTCTGTGTTCAAATATTCAAGAGTTTTGTCATCAATGAAGCCATCTTCGTGCATTTCGACCAAACTATCAGTTATTTCTGTGCCAAAAGATGTAGGCCCAGAGTCTAGTTTTTGGAAGAACCTTGCATCGTCAAGTTGTCGTTGAGCCTCTTGAATATAGGCAGATTTATCTATGATAACCACTGCACTGACTTTGTCTGCAGGTATAATGACGATATTGGTTTTTGGATCGCAAGTTTTGCATTGCAGATCGTTATTCATTGGTAAGGTGGGGGCCTCGGTGGCCGAGTGGTCTAAGTAGTTACTACTGTAATCACTAGCCAGTCAACACTGAGGTTGTGAGTTCGAACCCCGCTCGTTCGGGTGCACTCGACTCCAATCTAAATTGACTAGGATTGTCAGTTTTCCTATCGAAGGTCGGTGGTTTTCTCCGGGCACTCTGGCTTCCTCCATCAATAAAAACTGGCCGCCACGGAATAGCCCAAAAGCGGTGCTTAAAAGTGGCGTTAAAACACCAAAAATCAATCAAATCATTGGTAAGGTTGTCGAAAGGTTTATTGTTTTATCTGATATTTCTTATAGTGTCTGACTTAAATTGTCAATAAAGGATTCTAATTTGGCATTTTTGCTCGTATTAATGATCCAAAGATTTTTTTGATAAATTTATAGTTGTTCTCCTTATCAGAATTTTCTGAGTCACTATCCAAGCTTTCTTTTTTATTTGCCTTCAACGCGAAACATTCCTAATGCGGAGGCTTTTAGCAAAATTGTAAAGGTCTTCCGACAGTTTAGTTTCGTTGATAGAGGCAGGTAGAGGACAGAAATGTAGTTTCTGGATGTTTTGACGATAAACAGTACATATTTGGCTTAATGCGTTTCCTGTGTTGCCAATATAATCTTTTTTGGCACCCTTAACATTTAATTGCATAAATTAAATTTCCGGATGTGCATGTAAAAGAGTTCTTAATAGTGAAAATCTCTCCCGATTTAAATTCATATGAAACTCCTTCAAAAACATTTTTACAAATACCACAGTTTGAACGTCCGCATTTTTTGACAGATGGAGATATATTATCTTTGTTTAAATTTGCAATAGTAAGTAACTTATTTTAAAGATTTTGACTGTCATTTACTTTTTATAGTTTTCTGTGTAGCAAGGGCTCTTCTCATTTTTTGATCTTTCATCAGTGTTGGTATATTTCGATAAATAATGTTATACACTTCTGTATTTATTGAGTTAAATGATGATACGTGTGGTAATACTTGGTCCGTATTATTTACCGTGTTTTTCGGTCTTCTTAGTTCTTGAATATCTATGACTTTTGCACGTTCTATTCCATAATGTATTAAAGTTTTTATATACTGTCTTTCTTATAGTTTTTCATTCAAACCTTGCAGTCTTTATTTCTCATTTCAATACTACAGACAATCGTACAAAAAAATACAAACCAAGCTTAAATAGATAAGACGCAACTTATGTAAGGGTTATGTTCTTTTTGTGCATTGTTGCGGACTCATAATTGTAACGTTACAATACCACTGACTTTATTAGTTAACTCATTCATGATTATCACAAAGATGTGAAACCCGTTGGAGAAAAATGTAATGAATTAAAGGACTTTACGGTGCTATATGAACTAGTACAATTGTAAAAATTTCACAGGTGACGAAAGTTATGCTATTACAACATAGGCTGCGTAGAAACACATTCCCAATTTATAGCACTGACCGATTTAAATAGGTGTAATAATCTTAACTTTCACGGTTAATTAATTGCAACAAAGGCTGCGTATTCATTCATCCTAAATTAATAGCACCGTGCGATTGAAACTGGAAAAAAAATATAGAATGTCAGAGTTGACGGAGGTTAAGGAATTACAACATAGACTGCGTAGTTATACAACCCAAATTCCAAAAAGCCGATTCGCGCAGTGATATTCATTTAGGTTGCATAAATAGGCAGTCTCTGCTGTAATTCCTTTACAGTTGGGTACAGACAAAACATTGCATATAAACAAGCGGGAAAATTAAACGTGGCATTCAATCACGTGCACCTCATTAAAACGCCACATTAACTCGGCTCTACCTCAAAATTTCAGTAAATATAAAAAATAAACGAGTTTTTTCTTTAACGTTACCTCCGGATTAACGTGAAAAGGGCGCGTCTTGTATTGTTGCTAGAAGTAACTGCACGTTTACCTTTGATAGTAAACACGCGTGAACGCAATTTGTCAGCAGATCATGATATCCTCGATACACTAATTTATTATATCACATGGCTAGCTACGTAAAAATTCCCAACTGCTCATTCTCGACAATTATATAAATTAAAGATTACAATGAATAATATATCACGTAGGTTATTAAAGGGGTATCAGCTGTCGAATTCATGTTCACTGATTTGACTCAAATTCTCATATTTTATTTAGAACATACTAAAACGTATATCCAAATTATAAAAAGTCTTAAATAAACAATTTACAATGCATGGGCTTGATAATATGCATAGGCATATCGTGTGTATTTTAGTCTAGACGCCATCTAATGAACTATCGAGGTAACCTCCGAAGACTGCCGACGGTCATATAACCAGATGTAAACATAAATATAGATTTAAATAGATAGCGAACTCGTTCAATTGGATTTTTCTTTGTCTGTTTGATTTCATATTATAAGTTAAAAATGTATTTAAATCATCGTTTTTACCTGTATAAGAATGAGTTTTTGTGAATCGAATCAGTCAATCAAATTGTTTACCCTTGTTTCACTTTCAAAGTTTTTCCTTTTAATAACTGAACACGTCTAATTCATGCGTAATCCAGCTCTAGCTAATGGTTACATTGAAGGTCACGTTAATACGGATTCAATGAGGTCGAATTATTCACTTGCAAGTGAATAATTCATTATCGATGTTTCTCAGCTTATTTCGACAAAACTGAAGCAAACTGGCTGCTAAAAGCGAATTATTATTTCATCATTTCACTTTCATTAATGATTGAACAAAAATAATAATATTTCATTTTTTTTCCATAGCTCGTAGCTATTATTTGATTGGCAATTGACAATTGACAATTCAGAAATGTATATAAGTAACAAAAAGATATTTCTTCCGGAAGCGTAAACCTTTTCTATTTATTTTCGGGAGTTGTATATATATATATGTATATATATATATATATATAAATAATAGAGCCTAGGTGGTCGAGTGGTCTAGCGCGTCGGGCATAGTGCAAGGCGATTTGGTGTCACGATATCTCAGTAGCATGAGTTCGAATCCCGGTCAGGGAAGAACAAAAACTTTGCTTCCTCGGGCATAGTGCAAGGCGATTTGGTGCCACGATATCTCAGTAGCATGAGTTCGAATCCCCTCCAGGGAAGAACAAAAAAAAAAAAAAATCGAGTCGATATCGACACATTATGTTCCAAATGTCTATCTGTTTTACAGTCATGTATATAAACAATTATAGTTTCTCCCAGATCGTCTATTTAAGATGTCGATATCGAAAAATTATGCTACAAATGTTTATCTCCTACAGTTATCTGTATAGACAATTTAGTTTCTCCTGATTCGTCTGTTTTAAGATATCAATATCGACGATATCGATGACATAGAGTCGATTTTTAGACATGTTTCAAACATTTATCTGCTACAATTATCTTTATAGACAATTTAGTTTCTCCTGGTTCGTCTGTTTAAATATGTTGACGATATCAATTCCATATCAACATTTAAACATTTTCTTCATAATTTGTTTCTCTATTTATTTCGTTTAGTTTAGTATACGTACCTTATTTACACATTAAGAAAAGGGGATGTTGCACGATTTGCAATGAGACAACAGACCACCAAACACAAAAAGAATGAGGATGTTAACACCTATACGCCACCTTACAGTCTTCACAACAAAGATTAACAATAATACCGGCATGACAAAATGTCAAATATTTCAAAATAATCTATGATTGTGATGGTAAGGATTTTGAGGTCAGCTTGGGCGTGCCCAGGTGATCTCAAATGACGACTTACGGGGAGGCCAAGCTGATGTCAAAAACCTTACCATCACAATCAAAGACCACAACGAGGGTTGGTCAAGGGCCGACAGACTTGCTCGGTAAAGGTTTTAGATAAGAAAGCTAAGGACAGTTTCCCCAGAGAGCATAAATGAAAAAAACATAGAATGAGTCACTCATTTTCCCTACCATCACTCATTTTCCTACCATCACTTGTTTCCACTAACTTAGGCTTCCGTACTGGACTCTTACAGTTTTAAGGAATTTTTGAATTATACCAGTTTAAATTACAGGGTTCTATTCATTTGGGAGGGATGTACAAATACGCAGTCACGTTCAAATATTTATCCTTAGTCAAAATTTACTATTATTTTTTTTTAATCATTATCAAACTGCTATTTATTTGGGATGTTTAAATACGCAGCCTCTGTTTTAATTACTCTATCGTTGTCAAATTTGAAATATTATTCAAGCTTAGATCGGTCAGTGCTGTTTATTGGGAATGTATTTCGACGCAATCGTTGTTGTAACATCGTGACTGTCGTCATCTTTTAAATTTTAGAATGGTACAAGTTCATATCGCACATTACTATTTTTATTTAAAGCATATCTTTGCAGACTCTTGTACAAGCGTCTCTATGATGTTCGGATTTAACTGTTTTATTGTATAAATTTCAAGATTGTTATAGTTTTATAATCAGAATAGATTCATTTTACATTAATTCATACTGATGAATGATATATGTTATCCGAAATATTTAACATTTGTTCATTTTATTGTTATTGTTTGGTGATGTTGTACCCTTTAAGACTTGTTATATATTATTTTGTAGTGTACTGTATCATACTTATATGATCCATCGGCCCGTAAGATTTATCGTTGGCTATTATTCAGTTATTTTATATATATATATATATATATATATATATATATAAACAAGTCTAAATTGAAAACAACGTTCAAACCTTGATTGCGTTGGATAAAAGCCGCAATTTTTATACGTGTGCATGCAAAACAAATTTCTTGGTAGAGGGGTATAAATATAGCACAAACAACATTTTCCAAAAGACCAAAAAAGTGAAAAAGTATATTCTAACAAAACGCATTTGACTAGCAGGTCGAACAACGGATGTTCTTAAACGCTGCTGACTGCCATTGGCGATTGCCAAATAAACGGATCACCAGATGTTACAAAATGGATCTTAACTATTAATTTAATACCAAACAGAAAACAATAAACTTACGAAAAAGATGGTATACCGCAAACAAATGGTGCAAAAATTAGTACACCATATCCGGATTTCGACAATTAATGTCTCTTCAATGATGTTAGGAATCGAAACGGTATTTGGAAGGCCATATAATTTACCTCAATTTAGGATAGACTCTTGAATTTTGAAGAGTCGAAATAGGATGAACGGATCATATAAAACCGATATATATATATAAGTACGTCTGAACAAGTGGTTACTCTACGACAGATCCATCCATTGGATCATCAGTGAAGGTGATACACAGGTGAAAACTCATATTATATTCATAATTAATCTAAACATCAGCACAACAGTGTAAATCTGCAAATTTGCAAAATCAAATTTTTGTTCTTCCCTCGCCGGGATTCGAACTCATGCAGGCGGTGTTGTCACAATATCCCAATAGCATGAGTTCGAATCCCGGCGATGGAAGATAAAAAATTTGCTTCCGCAAATTTGCAGATTGAACATTGTTGTGGTGATATATATATTAGATTGGTGTGATTCATTTTACATCGTGATCATACTAATGAAGGATATCTGGTATTCGAAATATTTAACATTTGTTCATTTTATTATTATTTTTTGGTGGTCTTGTACCCTTTTAGACTTGTTAAAAAAAAATATATATATAATTACTCTAAAAATAAGCACAACAATGTTAAATTTGCATATTTGCGGAAGCATGATATATATAATTTATATAATGGTGAAAATAATAATGTATACATTCATATTCTATCGAAGACATACTTGTGCTTTCTCCTGGCAATGGCGAGGGAAAAAGGTCCATGTCTAACACTCCTTTTTCCTTGTAGTATTTTAGCACTTGAAATGCATCTCTATTTATCAACTGGACCATTGTTATGATTCGATCTACACCCATCAGTCGATTGTATTCAAACCATTCAATCAAATGTATTGCCTTCTTTGTACCATAGGCCATTTTAGAACATATAGCCATCTTACCGGCATGTCTGGTTGGATATACAACTTTGGTTATTTGTGGACAAGTGTCTGCCTGGATATCATTTAATGGACTAAGGCCGACTTCGCTGACATAGCCTTTTATTTGTTGGAAGGTATTTTCTAACTTGCATTCATATTGACATGCAACCAATTTTGCTCGATAAATTGAAGGAATTTCCTTAGAAGTAGCTTTAACTGTTTGAACAGTTTTATTTGAAGGGTCGAAAAAGCAGTTAAACTGTGTCTTCGTTCTTTTACACCAGGATGTTATGATAATTGAGATGTACTTTGTCCAGTCTGCACTCGGCTTTGCTACCGCTGAATATGCATACAGATCATCACGTCTACATACTCTTATCATCTTTTTATCTTTGACCTATCAAATGTACATTTTAATTATTGTATAAAGGATCAACGAATCTAAATTTCATATTGTTTTCAAAATAAAATGCAAACAACCGAAGTATAATCTTACCATGTCATACCTATTTGAATTTGCAAATACCTATTTGAATTTGCAAGGAACGAGGATGAATAAGAAAAAAAATGTGTAATTTTTTATTCATTAATATTTAAGTTATTAGTTTAAACATACATGTAATAAACGTATTACTTACTGGTGATACTTAAATCCCAAAAACCAAAATCAAATCAAAGGAAAAAGAAAAAGGCACCGGTGACTTCTGATATTGATGAGTTTGGCACGATCTTGACACGAGCATTCATGAATTAATATGCAGAAATCTAAGCTTTTTTTTCTTTTGAAACCTCAAACAAATTCAAAAGAGATATGTTTGAGGCATTTAGTAAAAATAAACACATTCTAAGCAAAGTTTATCATAAGTTATAACGACGAAATACTTTGTATCGATTGCTTGCAATTCATGCATGCTATTAAACCTTTACAACAATTGTCCACGCCTACACTGCTGCGATTGAAGTGGTCGTCTCAAAATAGTAATAAAGCTATTTAAGTTTTACCAGTGGTTAACTGAATTCATAGAAATACAAATATTTGACTATATGTATTTACCACAACGATATATTTGCACTATAGCTGTTCGCTTAATATCAAAATAGTATAGTCTAAATCGAATATGCACGCATATGTTACATGCATGTTATACCCCTACATTTCACCTGTAAATTGAGGGTATCATTAGTCGGTGTCGTATTGAAAGTTGTTGGAAAGGTCTATAATCGATAATAATATTGATAAGCTTCTACATACACATAAATAGCAACACACATTTCCAGATAAACATCTTTTGTACATATGTGCATGCCATTCTTTTATCATCAGTCTTTGAATGTAAATAACCACTGCCATTTTAGTCCTGCTGGTCATATTAATACCGGAGACCTTGGTATATTCAAATATAAATATCCTAAAGAATGGTTAAACTGGTCTCAAAAATCTAATTATGAAATCATCAAAAGAAAGACGAACGTCAGGTTACTGATGGTGCATAGATCAGGCCGATGTCAAAAAGTAAGATAAGCGAGAGCTATGTGAACCGTAAATTGACATCTTAATCCTTATCTAAATGAATCATAGCATGTTCGGTCATGCATCCATTTGTGAATAAAAAATATGATGTACGCTGATCATACGGGTTTCTGATTTTTTCAGAGAGCTTGAGAATGCTGATGCTGTATTCTCTCTTTACGATGAATTTGTTGTTGTTCTAGCAAAAAAAAAAACAACCTTAAACAATATTTGTTAATGGAAAACAATTGTTTGGAATGCATACAAAAATAAGAGCCGGAAAATTCCATCCAATCTAGGAATCCGACCTATACCCTTTCATTTATCATTCACGAAAAACGCGATTTTAAAAAATTGCTTATCTTTCCCTTGATATTCACTCAGAAAAGGACGATGCAAATTGTTCGTATCTACATTTATACATCTCAAACATTAGGGAATACTTAAGTTGAGGACAATTTTAAAACGAGTGATTGAATTGTATTAAGGGAGAACAATTTTCAACATGACAGTCATGTAAATGTAACGGTACAAATTGAAATTCAGTAGAATCCGTAATTCGCCTAGTACACCTATATAAAATAAAAGTTATTGGAATTTTAATGTATACCAACAAATCATGTGCAAATATATACTTGTAAAAATAAGGAAATCCAGATTTGAACATAAAGGTTACTGAAATTTACTGAATGCATTTCACAGCAGAGAATTTTTATTAAAGTCTTCTTTTAACAGTCAGGATTCTACTTTGTCAAAATTATCTCCCCATTTCGCCAGCTAATTTTTACAATTGAAAATATGGAAGTCATTGTAGGGATGACACGCTGCCAATTTAGCTCATGAAAACAGATAAATTTATCCACATAGCACCACTACGATTTTTATATGCCAGTTCTATTTTAAAAGACAAATGTATCTACTAGTTTTTGAGCATCATTTAATGTAGTTTTCTGCATTTTTCTAACTTAAAACTATTGTCTGATCGGTTGTCAGGTGGAATTTCCGTAAGTTCCAAAACATTTAAAAATATTCTAATTAAATATTTCGTGGAAGGGCAGACTAAAAATTTTCAGAGGTTGAAGACTAATAACACTAGATAACACACACAAAAAATGAAGTTTGTTTGAAGTTATGCATTTTTAAGATCAACTTGAAAAGTCTGTCGTCAAGTACTTTTAGTAAAAATTTGTTATTCGAACATATCTACTCTGTTGTTATGACTCATTACAAAGGTATTACACATGACCCTTATATTTCATTTTTTAGTACTGTGAACTTTAAATGTTATAAAATCAACCTGTAGCCTAAATATATAAAAATAATAGAATCTAAAGTGAGATGATGTATCAAATATATTTGTTTTATACGTTTTCAAGACAAAAAAGACAAATGAAATGCCCGAACATAACACGGTGCATTCGACTTCTCTTTTCGCTTAAATTATGTCCATTTTTGGATTATTTCCCAAAAAATTGTCGTCGGAGAAGAGATGCAAATTAATACTTTAAAAATTAATCTTTTATCTTTCTGTTGAATATTTTTCGGCGGAATTTATGCTTATGTACAAAAAAGATCCACTTGGATTTGCACCTACTACAATCTATTGATTTATGAAAATTTTTCTATAATTTAAAAGTTTACAAATATCTAGAAACTCCATACTATAATTTAAGTAAAACCATATAAGATGCATAAAATCCGAAATGATGCACCTTTATTAAACTTTTAAAGCCCATAGAAACAGATGTCAACAATTCAAATATACCAACTTGGCCTTTTTTACCTTCTCTAACAGAGAGTTCCATTTCTTTTGTTTAAATTCAACTGGGTATCCGCTTGTTGAACTTTCTCAAAATTCACAAATTCACAGTATCATAGTTTTATATATGTACTATTAAGTTTGAACAACATTTTTTTGTTATTCCAAATATGTTTTAACATTTAAGATACATGGTTCAACAATTTCAAATTTGACAGGTTGTGGGAAATTTTATAATATAAACGTATAAGAAGGACTTTCTTTACAAAAAGTAAAATTGTCCTTGAAATATTTCTATATATTGCCTTTTGAAATTGAAATAATTCAATAAGAATAATGATACGTTTGACGCAAAATTAGACAAAAATATATAACATGTTTAATATTATCTGCACAATTCGTAGCGCTAATTGACATCTTTATTCAAACTAAATACGTAAAATGTTTGTTGTTTTAGGTATATTGTATAGACTTTCAGAATGTACATTAATAACTTTCTAGTTTTGATGCTTTGAGTAAAACAAATAAGGGAACGTTTGCACTAATGCCCTTTGTTACAATCTATCCCTATATTTGCCTTCAGGCAAAAATCTCACAACTCCCAATATTGCTCCTTCTGTTTTCAACACTTTATGATGAAAAACATGGTACATATAGACAAGCTGAAAGACGTTTTTTATACATAATTGTCAGTTTGTGAACACAGTAAAAAACAGTATAACAGAGATAAAACATGTTATTTTTTGATAAATATATACTGCACGTTTGAATCGATGTAATGCAAACAAGGAATACTAATTAAAGAGCAAAACAACTTCAAAAAATTAATACAATTATTGTCAAAAAGAACAATTATGTTTCCTTGCAAAAAAGTTTTTTTAAAAGTTTGTCACCACGCAAAATTCTTGAAATGAAAAGGCTTTTTATTAGGATAATTATCGTGTGAATTTCCCCAGACCCAGTTCCATAGCCCTTTTATTGCTCTGGGACAATTTATATATTCATGCCTTTGAGAGAAAAAATGAAACTTTAGTGATATCTGTTATTTGGTTTCTCTCTGAAACTCTGCAGGAAAATTTAATACAATTATATGTATACAATTGTCAGGCCATAATTGTTTGATCGTCAAAATATCAGTTAATAATAAAATAGATATTTCATTTAAAAAGTAAGAAAACTAATATATTGTCACAATTTTTTGTTTGTTTTTGTGTTGATGAATGCATGTTGCTATCATGACCTTTGTTTTTCCTATTGTGTGGATACCTCAGATAGATTTTGGAAGCAGCGATCACATTCACAAGTTTTGTGTCGTTTTTTGTTTGTTTTGTCTTGTTCAAGTACCTGGTCACCTCATTAGTGAATGTACGATATAAGCTTCATGAGTCTGAAGCTCTTTTCTGGATTTACTATCATCAGCAACGTTCAAGCTAAATGTTTGAAAACCACGGATGTATGAGAACCAAGCAGTTGAAGAGCTATATGATAAAAATGACCTACAAAATAGTCAAATCCGTATAAAGTCGACTTTTACTATGGGATTTGAAAACTTAGTTTCTTTATAATTTCAATATTTATAAACGAATAGTTTGCGACAAGTTTGTTATAAATCATGTCAGTACCGAAGTACCGAAAACTGAGCTTATAATACCCTCGGGGACTGATAGTCCAGTCCACCAGCAAAGGTATCGAGGTATCGACCTAGTGCTCAAACAACACGTGATAAATTGCATGCGTCTGAATCCCTTTATTCTGGATTTACCATCATCAAGAACGCTCATAGCCAAATATTTGAACGCGAAGTATGTATCAGTATAAAAGAGACATCAAATACTCTTGCACTTGTCAACAAAGTAAACAAAGTGAACACCAATGTTAACACAAAAAGACAAATTATTAAAGACGTAAATCAATAAGCTTAATGAAAATGCAGGTACACGTAGCACACAGTATAACGTGTGTTTACTTACTGTGTATACATTCGGAACCTGAAATATAAAATTGTATAATGGTCAATTAATGCCACAACCATGCATATATATTGAAATAGAATATATAAGTGATAAAAAAATATTACATTATTTGAATATGTCATTTACGTATCCACACGATAGAAGTTTCGTCGTGCGTTTATATTACATGTAAACATGAAAGCACAAATCACATATTTCTTTTCACTTTGAGAGCGTTTCTAGCAATAGACCGTTGTCGATAATGTAATGTTAGAAAATTTTAAAAGCATTTCATTATTTGATGGGTGGTAGTAAGTTGGCAGTATCAAGCAAGGTTTCATCGACTTTCATTGACCTTTAAGCATGGTGCACTGTGTTTTGTGCAGTGAGTATATCTGATTTTTATCGGACCAGGATTGTTGTTTTGAGTAGATATTTGCCATGCTAAAATATGATTGGTATTACACGGTTGTTTAACTATTCTATCGTCAATTTGAACATTTTTCTATTCATCTTATTGCTTAACATTTTTCGATATCATGGACAGTAACAGTGTAGCAACGTCACGTGTGCATGTCCATCCGCGTCAATTTGTAAATGCAATACATGCGACTTCCTTCATAAAAGCAAACAGTCAAATATCATATCGTATTGTACGCATAAAAATAGCTTTTTCACTATTTAACTTTATTTCATATTCTCAACCAAAAAACATGCAGTTAAGACAAATAATCCATTTCTGATATTGGTACTCGAATAGAGCATTGTAAGCTCTTCAATCTTCAATTTTGTCATAGGCGACACATTGTAAAGTAAACAATTAAGTTTTGCAACCATTGTCGTTCATCCCAGCAAAAGGTCCAATGACTTTTATTTTTGCTTTACGTAATTAAATAGATATCAATCAATGCAAACACGTTAAACCTTTTGATAAGCAAACAATTTGTTTACAATTGTACGCCTTATAAAAGTTTACAACAGCAACATTGTTGAAAGTTGGTTTAAGCCGGATTTAATTGACTCTATAAACTCTCAATAACATAAAGCATTTAAAGTAAAACCTCTTGAGAGCTAAAAAGTACCGTTATGTCTGTCATTTGCTACAGTCTTATTTATATGACTGATTATGTCTTAATTAAAGTTTTGCCGCCTTTACAGTCAGACGGTCTTTTGTATAAAGTATGTAATTATATTTTTCATGGGCAAAGCAAAAGACGTAAATCAATAGGTTTAATGAAAAAGTAGGTACACGAATCACACAGTATAACGTTTCTTTACTTACTGTGTATACATTCGGAACCTGAAATATAAAGATGTATAATGGTTAATTATTGTCACAACCATGCAAATATATAGTTCAGCGGATCGGTGACAAAGTTGTGGGTTTGATGATAAAAGTACCAAATTTGGCATGGGAGTAGTTCTTGTTGTTTTAAACAATATAAGCTATGGACCCACCTTGAAATTTTTAAATGGCGTCTTTTATTAAGGATGGCCGCCATAAAATATAAAAATCAACATATATCATTTATATAAGGGCAAATTTGTAGTGGTAGTAGTGCTGGGTGTTTAAAAACCATGAGCTATGAACCAACTTTGAAAATAAAATATGGCGGCTTTTTCAAAGATGGCCGCCACAAAAAAAATCAAATTCAACAAATATCCCGTCTTTTAATTCAAATTTGTTATGTTTGTAGTGCTAGGTGCTTCAAACAATATAAGCTATGGACCAAAGTTGAAATTTCAAAGTGGCGGCTTTTTCCAAGATGGCCGCCATAAGATATGAAAGTTAAAAACAATCACATATAGAAGGTTACAAAGTGTTTTGTTTTGACAGTATAATCTAGTGCATTATAATACATGTACCAAGTGTATGCCACATTTATATACTAAAGCCAAACATCAAAAGATTTGTGAGGAAAGTATAGAAAATCGTAACTACGGTACCATTCTTGTAGAACAGTAGTCTACAGCAAGAGGTCACATATAGAGACTGGCGTTATTCCAATATTTAAGCTAGACTTAATTAAAATTCATACTTTTCAACTCTAACAGTAATCTCTGTGATCAACTTAAAGAGGAGATATTAATTATCTAAAACTTGCAGTAATCTTCTGTTGAGTTGCAATTAAACAAGCAACCGCAACAATTTGTTTGTATGGCAACGATACTTGAAGGAGCTGCACATACAGGTAGTTCAAAAAGACATGATGAAGGCGAAAGTCTTTTCAACAATCCTTTAAAACATTAGTTGATAATCGTTTGGCCAAATATTCAGATTCAGTCTAGTTATTTCATTAAGGCAAATACGATGCTATTCATTTCAAAGTAACTGTTTTTTTTCCTATTAATCTTTAATATTGCATTGCGCTGAACTAAAACCATCTCATAATATATATTACTAAATTATAAAATGAACAGTTTACGCCTGTCGTTTATGAATGGGCCAATTATCCATTTATCGGCAGTACAAGAAGATTCAATTTATGAAACATTCAAAATGGAATAGATTGTTCCTCCCGCGAAACCTGTAGGTTTTACAGCAACATCCTTGGCCAATCTTGACAACAACAAGAGTTCAATTAGGCTTAAGAATCGTTACAAAGTACGACAATTTCCATTTTTGGTCTTTTCTTGTTCTAACTTGGCAAATTCGTGACAACCTTTTGCTTTGAAATATATGCATTTCACTTATAATCTCTGGTACTTTAACCAATATATTATGCGCCAGCACAATTGTTCATATTATTGCTATAACTTAGTATATATTTTACTATATATTAAGATGTATCCTTAATACTAACCAAATATAACCATGCGTATCATACTTGCATCTATTAATAAACATTTTATGGACATGCATTAGGTCAATTGTCTAACCAAATATACATGTGTTCCTTTCTGGTATAATTATTTAATTGTGCAATTATATCCTCACCTGGTATAATTAAGTTAACAAAATAATAACACAGATGGCATAAAGCAGATGATAATGAAAACGTTAAATAAGTCTGGAAAGCATTCCACGCATGAAGAACCATGAAAAATCGTCCGCCTTTATATATCAGTACGCATTCACCAATGGTTCAGGAAGAGATCAAGTCTGTCACAACAATTCAACATTCCATGAATACATTCCAGCAATGTAATTTTTCCGAGTATCATTTATCACTAGTGATCAGTTGTTTTTTTTTTTTGCTTTTGCAAAATCGGAATAATGGTACTTGACAAACATATTTTAGCAGAACAAAGAAAGGTTTTGTTTTTGGTCTTCATAAGGAAATAGCATAGACATGGCATCGTTGAGAACCTTATGTCATTGATTAGAAAACAGTGGTTGATCAAGAGTTGAATCAAGGAAAGATAATACTTAATGAATAGCAGAGTGTTTTAAAGGCTCTCGTACATTATTATATTTCCGTGAAATTACAGTAGGTGTACTTCTCATTCTTATGCAAAGATCCTGACATCATTTTTTAATGAGGAACAAGACCCTGGTGAGAACTATGTAAGTCAAAGAAATGAAGATCATTAAAAGAATGTTCCTTCTAGGTGTTTAAAGATTCCATTATTTATTGGTTCTTTGCAATTTTCCTTCCAAATTATGGCTTCCAGTACCCGTGCGCGATACAATGCCATTTAACTATACAGTTTAAGTGTTGCAGACGTAATTTGAAAATGGTAAATTTAGATCAGGCCTATGAGTAGAATTATTGTAAAAGGAGAAGGTGGTGGCATTCAGATTGACCATCAATATCGCACAACTACATCATGTAATAGTGTTTTGTCTGGAAATGGCCATTGTGTTTAACAAGCTTCAATCAACATTTGAAATAACATTACGTGATCAGGTAATCCTCATGATGTTCTACACCAGGAACGGGTCAAAAGCAAAAAGCGCAACACTCCCAAAGCAGGTGAAAGCTTTAGGCGCATGAATGTATCAGGCTTTTAACCAAGAGTGCTTCTTTAAGAGAATGCGGTAGGCATCTACCTTCTTGGAATTTATCACAAAGGTATCATCACTTTTGTAATGAGGTAATAGAATGTGGTTTACAGATATAAAACGGATGTCATGGTAGATGAAAATGCAGAAGGACAATGATGTTATGTACGGTCCTGTTTAAAATGTGGTGGGCAGTGGGGCAAACATTGAATGGGCTGTCCTTAAGAATCATTTTGAAAACTGTTGTGAAAAAACGTTGTTGTTTAGATGATAAAAAAGATGGAGAAGATACTAAGGCAATCAAAATCATTAGTAAAACAAAACCAGATAAAAACAAACAACGCAAAAACGTGACTAACACAAATCAATACACAAAAATATAGAAATTGAGCAAAACAACCCCTCCCCTCCTAAAACAAAAACCGGGGATAATCTCATGTGCTCAAGAAGGGTCAGCAGTTCCTGTCCAATAATGACACCTACCTAGTTACTCTTGTTTAAATAGATCTATGAGTCATATCCGGTAGTTAGACATATATCATATAATGGTGGATTTATAAATATCTCTTTTCTAACCCTTCAAATTCACAATATATAAAACATGTTAAAACCATTGGTACATGTAAGTTATCTAAACTTTGACCAAATGTGAATGTTTGGAATGAAATAAGGTTTTCATTTCCTGTACGAGAGATAAACAAGACTTTTACTGGTTACCAACACAAACATTGAAAAATAAAGAGCAAATAACACAACATTGAAAGCATAAAACAACAAGACTCCCTGTTCATCAAAACTAGGGGCCAACAGGTGTCTGGAAGGGTGTTTATAATTTTGGCAAACTAGTACCACACGTGATGTTACTCATTGTCAGTAGAAATTCGGAGATTAGTCGTATTTATTCGTCATCTTGATGTTACTACAATCGCTGAAATAGAAAGGAGTGTGGCAAGGAGAAGATAAACATATCCATTATCATTTGTGACTCAGATGGTACCTAGTGGTCAAACAAATTCTGATGGCGTCCCGATAATTGTTCGAATGTTTCCATTTATGGGATCGTTGATTAAATTGTCTTTCAAACAGCATCCATATATCATGGAAACGCAATCCCTAGAAATGTATATGAACTACAAAGTGCAATTCGATAGACGAAATAGATATCAGCAAAGCCTTGACTCAGTTTTATTCATTTTCATTTTTTGGCGGCTATTTTGAAAAGAAATGCAGTCTAATATAACATCATGATTTACTAAAAACGATGGATAACATTTTATATGTTTTTAAGATTTGGTTCGACTATTATTTGCATCAATATATACATGGTTGTAAACTTTAGACTGATTGGCAGACATCTTGAAAATGGCCGCCATATAATATTTTTCAGAGTGGGTCCATAGCTTAAATCAACTACCACATATAGTTGTGCAACGTTTAATGCTTTATAACCAAACCCACAATTCTTCAAAAAATATGCACGAATCAGCTGAACTAATACTGAAATAGTATATATTACTGATAAAAAAATGTATTTCATCATTTTAATATGTCATTTACGTATCCACACGACAAAAAGTTTCGTCCTGCGACCGAGTTACACGTTAACTTAAAAGCACAAACCACATATTTCTTGTCACTTTGAGAGCGTTTCTAGCAAAAGACCGTTGTCGATAATCAAATGTTTGAAAATTTCAAAATATTTCGTTCTTTGATGAATGCTAGTAAGTTGTCAGCAATATTCAAGTTTTCACTGACTGTTATTGACCTTTAAGCATGGTGCTCTGTTTTATTGTACAGTTAGTATATCTGATTTTTATCGGACTAAGATTTTTGTTTTGAATAATATTTGTTGAAATATGATGGATATGTAACGGTTGTTAAACTATTTTATCGGCAAATTGTACATTTTTCTTTTTCATCTTACTGCTTATTATATTTCTATATCATAAGCAGGACCTGATATCTTTAGACAATGACACAACGTAACAGTGCTGCAACGTCACGTGTGTTTGTCCATCAGCGTCAATTTCTCAATGAAATGCACGCGACATCATTCTTAGAAGCAAACAATTAAATATCACAACTTTTTGAACGAGTAAAAATAGTTTTACTCACTATTTGATTTTATTTCATATTATCAATAAAACATACAGATAAAACAAATAATCGATAAAAAGAATAATGGGATTTAATTTAACTATCTTCACCCGCTCGAATATCAGCTTTCCATTACTTTACGTAAACGTAATTAAACAAATATCAATCAATGTAAATATGTTTAAGCTTCTTGATAAGCAAAGCAAAGCATTTGTTTACGATTGTATGAGTTATGAAAGTAACATTGTTGAATAAAA